GAGAGATTTAGATGAGATGTTAGAAAGAAATTATTTACTGTGAGTGTAGTGAGGCACTGGCACAGGTTGCACAAAGAAGATGTGCATGTCCCATCCCTGGAGGTGCTCAAGGCCAGGTTGGATGGGGCTTGGAGCAACCTGGACCACTGGAAGGTGTCCCTGCTCATGCAGGGAGGTTGGAGCTAGACAGTATTAAAGTCTCTTCCAATGCAAACCATTCTGTGATTCTTTCAAACCCCAGCACTGTGGAGGCTGTTGGTAATGCTGACAGTAATGGAGAAGAGGAATGAAGAAAAAATCCCACATCAAGAATGCCTTGAACTGACAGCAGCTAGTCCAAAAGAAAGTATAGCTGCCAAATAGTCTTAGGCAGCTTTATGAAAACTTTCTGGATAAGGTATATGTGTAGAAAGACAGCTAATATCTTGTACTTACGAAGAAGAGGTACACTCAGACCAGGTGACAGCAGAGAACATGAGTGTGCCTTCCTTGGCTTGGCAGGCAGAGAGCTTGCACTCTGAGCAGGGATGCAGCTAGCAAGTTGATGCAGTGGATGCTTCTTCTGGGTCTGCTACTTTGACAAATGTATTTAAAAAATCTAACTCAGCCTAGTGACCACATCCTCCATTCCCTGCTTTCAAGGGAGGTCAGCTTCCACATATTGCTGGTTCATTGATTATGCATTTCTAAGAGTATGACTGACTCCTCTCTCCAGCTGCCAAGTTGTTTGCAGGCATAATAAATGTTAAAGTGCTTACTAGCTGAGTTCTAGTGAATTCATCTTCCTTTTTTGGGATGGAACAATTAAGAAACCTCACCAGGACAGTGCTGGCAAAAACATTGTCACAGATGCTATGCACAGCACTGCAAAGAAAGTGACATGGCTAGTTGGAGCAAGCTGGAGAGAGTACACTTTCCATGGTGATGCTGGAAATGGCTGTGCCATTCTCTCCCACGCAGTCTCTTCATGTAATCCCTTGTTTGGGAGTTTAATGAGTTGCTTGTATAAACAAAACCATAATTTCCAGTAGTTCCAACACTCAACAGCCTCAAAATCCTTAATGAATGTTAGCTAGTTAATAAGCAATTTGTCCCCTGAAGTCAAGGAAGTATGTAAGCTGTGACACAAAGAGAGTTGAGGAAGAGAGCAAGAAAGAAATGGAGCTGACAGTGGTGGTGGAAACAGAGCAGAGCCTGACCCAGCTGCTAGGAGAGACTTCACAAGCCACATGCTTCATGTATTATCAAGGCATTTATTTGGGGTAAAACAGTGCATGACCTGGAAATGAAAAGTCTGTGGATATTCTAGAAGACTGAATGTATGATTTATTGGATAGTTAAACTGAGACTGGCTTTTTAAATCAAAGATTAGAACTACTCCATTGGAATGTGCATAACATGTCTTCAAAAGAAAAACTTACAAAATACTTTGAAGCCCACACTAAACCCAAGTTGTTCACTATGTATTATAAATGAAAAATATACCTCAGAACCTTCAAAAATTCTACTTTCACCCTGTCTTGGCCTTGCTACAACCCACACTCAAACACAAACAAGCCACATAACAGCACTGTCCCTACCTCTGTGGCAGAAGCTTTTTGTTAGCATCTTCTGCCCCCATCAGTGGGTCACCTGCATAATTAATGAATCATTTGTACATGTGCTTCACCTTTCTCCATTCTACCCCTAATTTGGGGCAAAGTGGAGAAATGCATTACAGCTGCCCAGAAGCAAAGCCTATAGGGGAAGAGGG